ATGCTAAATTAACATTAACAAAAATGAATCAAAGAATTCGATTAGAACAATCTGATATCGAGCAAACAAGTAGTTATGATCGTAAATTAGCATATTTTATACGCTTTCATTTACGTGATATTTTGACAAGTGATCATCGTCAAATTTGGTTTAATATTCAAACAAAAGCGCTTGATGATATTGAAGATCGTAATCAAATTTTGAAGGAAATTCCTGATGAAATTCGTGTAGTGTATAGTTTTGGAGTCATGCTTTCATACGATACTTTTATTGGGCATACAGATGAACGAACTCTTGCTAATATTTACGTTCAAAAATATCCTAAAGCAATTAAATTAGAAACAGCAACATATTTTCTAACAATTCAATTCAAAGACATAGATTCACAGATTTTAATCAATCATTCTACGAATGATAATTCAATTCAAATTATTTTCATGCTTAAATCATCACCAATCATCGAAAAAACAGAAGGAACAAAAAAATGGTAAAATAATTTTTGGTTTTTTTTTTATATGAAGAACTTAATTAGATCTTTTAATGTAGCCATAAATTTGTTGCCTACTACGTCACTGTAACCAAACAGTACTCTTAAATTCCGATTAGTTCTTTATGTAGAAGAGAAAAGATAAACACAGTTTCTATGAAAGAATATTTAAGTACTTTTTTTGCGCTTTCAAATTTCCTATTTCCTCTGAATTTTTCGGATTCGATAAGAATAAAAATAAAAAAGTCATCAAAAGACGTGTCAAAAATAAAACATAAGTATCTATTTGATTTGTATCTTTAGCGATCACAAACGGTTGATGAAACAACTTCCATTATGCAGTGATTTACTTGTACGATTTTTCCCAGCTAATACGGCATGGAAATTTTTACGTAATTTACCAGTTGCTGGTTATACTCGAAAAGCATCTGATGATTTATTTCATATAAATTTTGCTTTATTTCGTTGGCAAAAAGATCCAAGTAATTTTTCTCCTATAGGTATGCCATCATATTCTTCTGCTTATGATTCTTATGGTATGGAAATGCTTTGGTCATTGGGTTATTTATTTCAAGATAAATACAATGCTGATTCTCAATCAATAGTTGGTATTCAACATAAAAATTTATATGATTTATCTTGTACAATCTGGCGTAACCTAAAACAGAATCATTGTTATCGAATTAAAGATGCATTGCATGATGCAACTTCAAAAACAAATCACGGAACTTCTAATGAGTCATCACAATTAAAACAAGTGGCATTTGCAATTATAACACCAAATCGTATTGAATATCAACCGATGCAAATGACACGTTGTCATCGAGGATTTGAATTATATCCTCCAGAGAATTGGTTACTTGTTCACATACGTGGTTATAATGGAATAGATAAAATTAATAACATAGATCTTCAAATGCGGGTACGTTTTAGAAATTTAATGATAAAAGGTATTGCTCGCGATAAACGTTATTTTCAATACTTTGGATCATCGGGCAGTCAAATGAATGATCAGGCTGGTTGGTTTCTATCACTTCCTCATGGAACAACCATAGAATCAGCACGTGCAAAAATCGGAGATCTATCGAAAATTCTCAATGTATCTACTTATATTTCACGAGTTGGTCTATATCTGACAACATTAAAGTCAACTGGGGTAATTTATTAGATTTTTATCGATTGCTATCTTTAAATGTTCAACTCGCTTTTTTTAAAAACGTTGATCAATTTCTTCAGTAGTCAATTGAAATAATATGATTCGCAACTATCATTTTGATGATGTTTCTAAAAAAATTGTTAGATATTACAATCTCTGTTTTTAAATTTAGATTAAACTAACCTATAATGAAATGTCATATTCGGAACAAACATCTAGGGGATTCTCACATTTGATAACAACAATCAGACGCTGGGTATGATAAAGATCTATATAATAGTTCACTTGTTAGCAATTGTTTTATTTAGTTTTTTAAATCTAACAATAAGAATATAGAGTATACGGCTACTATTATTCCAGATATTGAACACAATGAATTTTGTTTCACTGATGGTTGTGGCACAATTTCGCTTGGTCTTGCAAAAAAAATAGCGCAAAGTATTGGCATTCAAATTAACGAAAAGGTTATTTGTTTTTTTGTTTTTGATACTTTATCCATTTAATTTTATATTATGAGACTTTAGTCAGATATACCATCGGCTTTTCAAGTTCGAATAGCTGGATGTAAAGGCATGTTATCGGTTGATCCTAAATCGAAATCAAATGAATTCTATATTAAAGTTCGAAAAAGTATGGTCAAATTTGAAAGTGATGATTGGACTCTTTATATTGTTGATCATTCTCGACCTAGTGAATAATCAATCAATGATTTTCAATATATTATTTGTTGTTCTGAATATTTATAGTGCCATTGAGTTTGAATAATCAAATTATTCGATTATTGAGTGATTTGGGCAATAGTAATGGTATATTCGAATCTATTCAAATGCGATGTATTGATCGGAAAGAGTTTTGGCATCCACCAGCAAAATGTTATTTGAATGCATTAGATTCTCTTAATCAATCAATAATAAATGAAAATCAACAAAAATATAAAAATGCGTGAGTTTATGTTAAGAATTACATTAATAATAATGTCTATGTTGTTGAGATTTGTAGGAAAAACTTTCTTATTCGTAACAAAATTCCATTGCCTGTCAATGAAGCTCGATGTCTATTCGGCATAGCCGATGAAACTGGTACATTAAAATCAGGAGAATGTTTCATTCAATATCGTAGTCTTGAAAATTCGTCAACGTTCGAAAAATATATTGTGCATATAGGTATAATATTAATGATTCATATTTCTATTAACTGATTGAATCATCTTTATATCATAATTATAGGTACTGTATTAGTCACTAAAAATCCATGTCTTCATCCTGGAGACATCCGTAAACTCGAAGCAGTATATGTACCAAAACTTCAATCTTGTATACGTGATTGTATTGTATTTTCTACTAATGGTCATCGACCTAGTTTCAACGAAATGGCTGGGGCTGATCTTGATGGTGATCAGTATTGGGTTTATTGGGGTAATGAGTTTCAAATTGAAGAGGTTGCTAAACCATTATTGTATCCATCCACTAAGAAATCTTGTGTCAATCGTATAACTAATGAACTCATTGTGGATCATGTGCTTGATACATTCACAGATACAGCACCTGGCATTATCGCTAATACACATTCAGTCATTGCTGACAAACATTCCAATGGTACATTTTCGAAAGAATGTGAAGAATGTGCTCTACTCTTTGCCCGAGCAATCGATGCACGCAAAACTGGTGAAAATATTAATTTAACTCCTATTATGAAACTTAAAGACAAGTATTGCCAAACATATCCAGAATGGATGATGAAATTCGATAAACCAAAGATGGATCCACCAAGTAAATCGATTAATGAAATTCTTTATCAAAAAGCTCAAGATGCATGGATACATCCAGACAGCTATAACGATACGCTGCGATATTTTCCAGTTATTCAAAATCCTATGGATGAAACAGCAATTAATATAGATGAATCAGATGCCAATCTAGAGCAAGAACCAGAACAAACTGAAACAAAGGCAAAGTGCTGCTGTCTATTGATTCTTATAATTCTCGTTGCTGTAGGATTTTTTATATTTTATGCCATAAAGCATAAATAAAAATATCGAACTAACTCGCTAAACCTTACCTATTTACGTATATTATTGAAATAAAACGTTCCTGCTACTAAACATACTACTTTTCATGTATAGAAGAATATGAAAAAAAACAATTGGACAACATTAAAATTTAATTTTCTTATTATCTTTTAATTCATAAAGAAATGAAAAATTAGTCATTCATTTTTCCTTGTAATCCCAAATTATTTCTGTTGGATTCAATTCAAATAGGCTGTTAGATTAACTTATATTAGACACAAGCGCATAACATAAATACTCTGCATGTGCTCGCATGTGATTTACTCAGTATAAGTTTTATTGAATTTTGTTCTATGTGAATAGAAACTTTAATGATAGAGAAATAACACAAACAGTTTGTAGTTTTTATTAACGCAACGATAAATACGACAAAAAAAAAGCATTTTATGCTACTAAACACAGATGAATTTCTTGTAGTGCAATATATGTATGTTCCTTTCTAGATCCAGGAACAGGCATATGTGCTAAAAATTGTATTAATGAAGATTTGTTCTGTCACGCCTGTTCAATTCATTTCTGCTTTCTGACAGAATAAGGAATATGTCTATCTATTCTTTTCCGTATACTTTCGTCAGCAATCGGAACTTTCTCAACGAATCACTATTTATCTCTTCTACAAATAGTTTGGAAAAAATTGTAGAACATTCTGTTTTGCTTCATTGCAAGAGATTAGGTAGTCCTTTTTATAAATTATGTTATGAAAAATAATCATAAAATACATGTAGCTTTTTTGCTACTATAAGACACGAAGAGTTAAGCTACAAATCCATGGTTTCAACTATTAATGAAAAGTGGTATACCAACAGGTTGTGCCATTTTGCTTTTTGCAATTGATAGTACAAGAAATGTTGTGTTTAGTAGTACGATTGTATATTAAAAATATTCAGCTAATCTATATGAATTGAATTAAACGATGGTGTGTAATCAAAATAAACTAATAGTATATTTTAATAAATTTTGGATGCAGATCGTTATTTCGAACCAAGAAACTTAACTATTGAGCGATACTCAATCTTTTGATTCTTCATCATTTTATCAATACTGTTGAAGCACATATAAAGTACAATTTAAGAATAATAAAGCTAATAATTTTTTTAAATAAAACTTGTCTGGAAAAAGTTTTGAACGTTACTATGTATAGATTAAAATGTTTATCTTCTTTGTAAATCATCAACTTGAATCCTTGTATTACGATGTTTGGCGCCGACTCTCTAATAATGAACTAAAGTTTGAAAAAAAAAAGAAATATTGTTTAATCGGAGATATCAAATAAAACGAAAGAAAGAAAAATGCTAGATGATTTTCGTCTTGAGTGGCTTTGTCGTCGAACATGTCAAATGTTAAATATTGATAGGTCAATATTTATCAATATGTTAGAACGAAATAATGGTTTCAATGAAGATCTAATTGATAAATTTCTTACTATGAATACAGCTTTACACGAAAGATCATATGCATTAATATTTCATCGTGAAGATTCAAAACGAGATGTTTGGCAAATGATTGAAACAATTGATGAAGAAGAATTTGATGATGTATAAAAATTTTAAAAATAAAATATATAAATAAAATTTCATGAATATTTTGTAGTTTGTTGATGATGATAATGATCAACAATTGATTTTAAATGTTAATGAATCAATCAATACAGAAACTGAGTATTCGAGTAAATATGAAAATAATTTCACAACAAAAAAAGAGAAAATTGAAAAAAAATTTTGTTTCTTTTTTTTTTAATTATTCTAGTTGATTATGTTATTAATCATGCTCGTTTATTATCTGGTGATATAATTAATTCTTCATATGAATATTTAAAAAATATTCAACGTCTTTTAGTTATTAATCAATATGACAATAAAAATTATCATTTTGCATTAAAATCATTTCATCAAATACATCTTTATTGTGAATATTATCATTATGATAATTTAATAAAAAAAACATTTGTTTATTATATTCGAACAGATATTAAACAATATTTAATTCAATCATCAACATATGATGAAATGAATTTAATTATGAATGAAAACATTATTTATGGAATTATTCCTGAAGGACAACCACTTTTATCACTTGTAGATATTTTATCTTTTATTTATAAGGATATCTTACCATCAATCAATGAACAATCATCAAAAAGTAAAAAATTTAGAATTATCCGAGTGTCTCAAAAATAGTACACCAAAGAGACAGCGAGTATCTCCCATGTGTATTGTCAAAACAAGCTAATTTTTTTCTTCACATACCATCAGCTTATTGAAGCAATTAAAAACTAACATTATATACTTAAGTCTAAATGTCAACCTTCTATTGGGTACTTACATCAGTAGTCTGCTACAAGAGATGTAGTCATCAGAATGGTTTTAGTTGGATATATCTAGTTTTAAAGAGCTTGTTCTATTAATCATTTTGATACAAAAAAAAGTTTTCAAATACTTTCGTGTCTTTGTAAGTTAACTACTTGAGGACGAGGTTTCTTTTAAGAAAATAAAGGATAAATTTTCGAATGTTTGATGGGATATATTTTTGTTCATCTTGATATCAGAAAATTTCGAGGAGCATTTCAGAATATAATAATCTTTAGGATGAAGATGAGTGTAGACCTTCTTTTCCTCATAATATAAATGACAATATAATAGACTAACGATCCATAAGCAAGCGCAAATTATAACAGTATCATAAGCTCTATGCACAAATTAATGAGAATTTGATTTGAAAAATCGAACGTATAAACACGTTTCGCGTCTTTAAACGATTAACTACCCATGCAACTAATCGATTAAAAATTATATGCAGTCATATGGATTTCTCGAGAATTTTCTGTATAAGAACACTTTATGACATGTCGGATTAGCTAGATATAGAGCTGAATACATTAAACTTGTTGAACTCTGATTAAATGGCCTAGCGAAAAAATCAAAGGTTGAAAATAAATTATTTTGAAAAAATTGAGAAAATTCTAGAACATGACAATTTAAATAATATTACAGTAGGCTAAAGTCGTTATCAGAAACTGTAAAGTTTTCTTTTTAAAGTATTGTTTTATATGATAGTATTAAAATTTTTCTTCCTGAATAAAAGTTTCGAACTTTGCGCTATCATTGAGAAAAAAAATTAACCGATCTGATCAAAATATAGCGAAACTATTCTATTCTTTTTTCTTTTTGGTAGGTTATTTTTTTGAAATACTTGTTAGCTGTATTAATTGTCTGAAACACAATTTAAAAGGAATGTTTAGTGTATTGGTGTAGAAATCTTAACTTTCCACAGATTATGGCAGATGTTGTTGTTCTAAAATTGCAGACTGTATATCAGTAAAGTTTCATTTTGAATATATGCACTATTTTCTAATTATATTTCTGGCTAATGAAGAAATGTATCCTAAAATAGATAGAATTAAACAATCTTTCTGTAATTAGCCATACCAATTACATTGTGAATCACAGTTTAATTCGACAGAGATGGTACCAACACCTGTTTTTTTTTCTCTAGATGGATTAATATCTCCATCAATTGAAGAAACATCTCAACGTGACGAATTACATTTAAGTTTAAATCGTTTTCTTTTACATATTAAATCAACATTACGTCAAATACAAGGTGAATTTAATTTAATTATTTCAAATAAAAATTTTTTAATTAATGGAGATGAAACAGATGAAGAATATATTGAAAATCTTGAATATCTTTTTTATAATTGGGAAAGAATATTACATGAAGAAATGAATAATGAATTAAATAAACGAGTAATAGATTCAAGTCCACTTGCTGAATTAGAATTTTGGCATGAACGATCTATTCGAATAACATCAATTTTAGAACAAATGAAAAAAGGTTTTGTTAAATGATCAATTCTTTTTTTTTTTTTTTTTATTTTTTTTTTCTAGATGATGTCATGAAAATTATGCATGTTTTACAAAGTATTGATAGTCCTTCATTATCAGGATTTAATAATATAAAATTACAACTTCAAAGTTATCTATTAGAAGCAACAGATAATTATAAGTTTTTATTGACAATTGAAAGACATTTAAAAACGTTACAAATGACTAAATCATTTCAAACTATTATCAATATGTTACCTAATTTAATGCAAGGTTTAAAAACCATATGGTAAGAAAAAGAAAACTAATACAAAAAGAAGAACATCAGAATGAATATTTGTTATTCATTCAGTCTTTAGTATTGAAAGTAAAGTCCTATGAGAAGCCAATTCTCTTTAACTTCGATACTCATCTTCAGAAAAAAAAATGGTTTCAAGTCTCCAATAAACCCCGACAAGTCGTTTTTTTGTATTGTTGTAGTCATATGTAAACTGTTTTTCTTTTCTACTATTTATTGACCTGAATATTTGTATTTTTCTTAATCATTTCGATTTTGCTTCTATTGAGTTCGAATTCCAATGAAGTGGTACATTGAAAATTATTTATTGAGATTATGAATAGAGCTACATATGATATGCTCATTCGTACAACCATAAAGGGTAGTGCAGAACTCTTGATGCTTTGTTCTATAATAAATATTTTCATACTAATAAATGATCACATAGACTAACTTGAAAGAGAAAAGGTACAATAAAATACTTTCTTTACAATGACTATCGATCAATCAATCTGTTTCATTCAGTAAATTAATTATCTAGAAATGTCTATCATATTAATAAGTAAATTAGTCATTCTTATCTTAATTATTAAGAATAAATTCTTGAAAGATAATCATCAATTCGCATTGAACAAGCACTTTAAAATTTATTTTATGATTATTTGAATATCTAATGTATTAACTAGACATAGTCGGTGGCGTAGATTTATTCCATTTTTGAATCGAAAGATTTCTTTTGAGAAAAATAAATAAAAATTTTTTTTAATTACATTTTTATGACAATTTTTCTTGTTTGCATACAGAATTATTAAGATAGAAAATAAATTGAATATGAAACAAAAATATTAGTTTGAGATCAATAAAAATATAATAAACTAAACGCTGTCATAACTCAAGAAGATTAAGAAAGCAGACAAAAATCAAAACCAAAGAACTATTCCAATAGATAAGGTTATATTACGAAATCTTTTCAAATAGTTTCTTTAATAGAAACGAAATCGATTCAGCAATTCAATTCTTGAAAGTGAGTCGTTCAAAAAATATTTTTCTCTTTTGAAAATGGTACTTTGATAAAGGAACAAAGGTTTCTTGTACTGAGTAAGTGCTTCTCTCCAGAATAGAACCATAACTGCTTTTGAATAGTTTAGTATTCGAAACTAAACTTGTCTATTTCTATTCTTAGAATTTGATATTTCTTTTCAAACTCATTTAATTACAGATCTTTCCGAAGAATATTTCCTATTGAATTCTTAAATAAGTCGAACATATGTTATGATTTACAAGCATCCAATAGACTCAGAAGGTCGATCTGAGACAAAGTTCTTCATTATACAAACTAACTAATCACAAGAGTAAGCGAATAACGTGACGAGGTCAGCATGCTATCGTACGGAAGATATAAGACAAATAGCTGTTATTGATTTGTTCAAGATCATTTCATGGCTGCAGATACTCAGATTTGCATATAATACTTTGCAAATACGTCTTGAACAACATAGTCACTCAACTATGACGATTGAACTTAATAAGACTCGTAAAAGTTAAATGAATAAGGCTTCGCATTTGAAAGTTTATTTAATTCTGAAATGATTGTAGCTTTAATTATAATTGTTACAAAAAAAAAAACTGAATGTCTAGATAATAATTCTTTTTTTTTCATTTAGGACAATGTCAAAACATTATAATAAAGATGAACGTTTTGTTCCATTAATGGAAAAAATTGCTAATGAAATTGTTAATCGTGTACGACAAACAATTGATATAAGAAGTCTATTTTCATCATATACATTAAATGAAGCTAAAAATATTTGTTATCAAGCAAAACAATTATTAATTCAATGGAAAATTGAATATCAAAATACTCGAAATAAACTTGAAAATGATAAACGTAATTTTTTAACATGGAATTTTGAACATCGTATACTATTTGATAAAACAGATTATATGTCACAAATATGTGATGATTTAATACAAATGTTATCAAATTTAAATGAATATTATGATATATTTGGATTAGAAATGAAAATTGTTACTGGTGAAGAACAAATGGTTGATCGTGTACTTGAACATGTATCTGATTTAAAAAAATCTTTTCTTTTATGTCATTTTGATATATTTAATCGTGAAAATTCTCAACAATGGTATACATTTATTGAAGAATTTAAATATCGTTCATCAATTATTGAACAAGAAGCTAAAATATTTATACATGCTTCTTTTACTCAACTTCGTTCATCTGAAACTGCACTTGATATGCTTATTAGATTTCAAAAAATTGATACAACTCATATTTTAGCATATGAAATGATTCAACAATTTACATCTATTCTTTTACAATATTCTAAAGAAATTGATGAAATATATGATCTTTTTATGAAGTATAAAGATAATCCACCTATATTTAAAGTATGTATTGAATTTTTGTTTTCACATATTAAGTGTCAACTATTCGAAATATAGACAAGTTTTTGACTTTTTGGATAGAGCTTATCGAATTGTCTATGAATGTCTAACTTTCCTAAGATTCATCATAAACAATCAACGAAGTATATTAAATCATGACAAGGAAATCCAAAAAAAAAAATATTTTTTTTTGCTAAAATTTCAAATTGTCTTTATTTTAATAATATCAAAACAAAAATTTCATTAGGGTTTTCCACCTATTGCTGGTGCTATTCAATGGACTCGTTTTTTATTTACACGTATAAAACTTCCAATGATTAAATTTCGTTCTATTGATCGATTACTTCAATCAGAACAAGGTACAATTGCCAAACATCGATTTATGGAAATAGGCATTGTACTTAAAGAATATGAAGAAGAACTCTATACAAAATGGCTTGATAATGTTATTAAATATTTACCTATCTATCTTAAACAAAGTTTACTTATTGATGCTGAACAACGATCTGATCTATTTCTAGATAATAATTATCAACAATTTATTAATAATAGTCCTACATATCGATTGCCATTATATATAACTAAACAAGATCTAAATCGTATATCAATATCAATTGATTCAACACGTTCAATAGTAAATAAATTAAAATTATATAAAGAAAAATGTCATTTA